CTACCGCTCAGTCCACCTGCAGCGGGATGGCAAGGACGTCGGCACAGACACCCGCCTATTCAGCGCGACGTCTCCGCTTTGCTGCAACCCCGTTACTTTGCCCTTCAGCACTATTGACACCTTTCCTAGCATGAAAACCTGCAGTTACAACTGGAGCAACAGCCGCATCCGGATCCATGGCAAGCTCCCCTTGGGATTCAGGATCCAGTGGCCGCATACCGCAGCCGTGCTTCTTCTCATGTTGCCGCTGGTGGAGCCTTGCCGTACGGTTCGCCAGGAGGTACTGCTCGCTGACCCACGGGTCGGTGACCCAGCCCTCCAGGGGATCCACGTCCAGGGGCGCCCCCCAGTTCCCCTCGGGGCCCCGTGTTGCCGCCCAGGCCGCCTGCAGGGCCGCTAGAACCGCATCCAAGGCGTCACCTGCACCGTTGAACCCCAGACAGCACCACACCTCGGCATTAGGTATGGGTCGGAACGGGTTATAAGCAGGCGGCTACGGGTTACGGAGTTTGGAATCAGAGGTCACGCCTTAAGCAGAGGCGCTAAGGAAAGGCCTCCGACCAGTAAGCAGACAGCTGATGACGAGGGCGAAGCATGTAAGTGGTGCCAGAGTCTTCGGGGCGCAGCGCAGCAACAATTTCTACTGCTACTACTTCTAAACCGACAGCAACAGCAACAACAACAACGACAACGCGACGGCAATTTCAACGCATGCAGCCAAATTGAAGGGACGGGCAAACGGACAGACAGACTGACAGACTGACCATCACCCCCTTACAAATAGATCCACATGCTCGTTTCGTGTTCATTGTGTGTATGTCGGGCTGACACGGCGGCAAAGAGACGCTGATGGGTGGGCGGCTTCAGGGGCTGTATGGTGTCCAGTGAGGAAGGGGGAGTGCGTGTGCTTTTTTTTGTGTGTGTAAGCGCTGTAGCATCATATGCACATTTATGCAATGTGGCAGTCAAGGGATTCCTGTTCGACCAAGCCACCTCTCCACCGCTGATACGATACCAGGCCCCAACGCCGACATCACCGAAACCCCACGTTGGCACATCGCCCTCATAGCCGTGAGGCCCATGGGACTCAGCTCAACCCCCGAATTCCCTCTCCATGCACTAAGACCGTACCGCTACCATCCTGATCGCACTGATGCAGCACCGCCGGCGCCACGACTACACCAGCCAAGCCGTACACATCAGCGAGCCGCAGCCTTGGCTGGCCTGCTGCTGGCCCGCTGGCGGGAGTGCTCCCAGCTGCACCCGCCGCTATCCCGGTGGTCGCCGACAGCGGCAGCTGCACCCGCTGCTGCTGCGGCGGCCGCCGTTGGTCGTGGCGGCCGCCAAGCTGTGGGGGCGATGACGGCGGCACGGAGCTGGTGCATTCAGTGACGCCCTGCGGGCTGACACCTCTAATGGCGGCGGACTCCTGCTGCCTCATCAGCTGCTGCTGCTGCTGATGATGATGATGATGATGATGATGATGATGATGATGATGATGATGATGATGATGACGATTAGGATATCGCTGCTGGCCCCTGGTCCCGCTGGGTACTGACCGCGCTCCGGCACAGGAGGAATCACACGGGGCCCCTGGCTCCGTTGCTGCGACTGCCGCTGCTGTGGGCTCTACACCAACCAGGGCCTGGCAGATAGCCCTCCGAGCCGACAGGCGGCCCGGGTCCAGGACCAAAGCCCGCGCATCGCTTTTGTAGCTGCGAACCCGCTTGGGACCTCCTGTCACTGCTGCTGCTGCTGATGCTGATGATGATGATGATGATGATGATGATGGTGATGCCCTGTTGCCGCTGCCTCGGCATTTTTCACCGCCAAAACCAGCTGTGGCGCCGCCGAGCACGCGGCGTGCTGGCAGTGCAGGGTATGCCTCCAGCAACACCCGCAAGCCGCCACCAGCACCAGGGGTATGGCAGCTGCTGCCGGGGCCGCTCGAAGCACCACCAACATCACCATCACTACCTCTGCCACCAGCTGCTACTGTTACCTCTACACCGCCGCCTACTTCCTTACCGTCAGCGACAGGAGGGCGTGAGTAGGCCTTACAGCTGCCCGTGTTCTCCGTGTCTGCCGCCGTGGCGGCGGGGCCCGCTGTGGCCCACATGTGCGGCGCCACATGGCACCCCGCTGCCACCGCCGCCTCAAGCAGCACCGCACCAGCATGGAACATCTTGGCGGTGGGTGTCCGCACCAAGCTCATGGGGCTCACCTCCTGACTGAAAGCCGCGACGGCACGCTTGAGGTGCTTGCGACCCGGCGGCTGCTGCGCCATGAAGCCACGTAGCTTAGCCTCAAAGTCCTCCCGGCTAAGCGCCGACGTCGCGGCCAGCAGGTCGCGCCAGCACGGGCCCCAACCTAACGCCTCTACTAATGCACGTGGCTGGCCAAACGGAAAATCCAGAGCCGCGACGAAAGGACCAGGCTGGGCCAGCAGCCAGGTCTGCAGGGAGGACAGAGAGGTAAAGCGCTCCAGGGACGTGATTTCCAAAAGGGGAGGTGGCCGCGGCGGTGGCGGTGGCAGGTGCGAGGTTGCGGCTGTGGGGATGCCGGAGGGAGCGGCGATGGTGGCGACGGCGGTTGTTGTGCTGGTGTACGATGTGGTAATGATGGCAGTGGCAGAAGTCGTTGTGGGGAGGGAAGCGGGAGGAGGAGGGGAGCAGGTGGGTGAAGATGAGGGGGAATCCCTTGACGGTACGACAGCTGGTGGCGATGGATAAACAGCATGTGGACACTGTGCCGTGAGGCAGTCCTGGGGTCGAGGTTTGGATCTGGATTTAGATTTAAATTTGCCACTCCCTGAAGTAAAAGGAGACTGCATTGGCGCAGGCACATATGCTGGCGGCGGTGGTGGTGAGTCAGGGGACGAGCTGGAATACGTACTGGATAGAGACCAACGCAGATGGCCCACGGCTACCGTAATAGGTTTCCGGTGGCAGGGCCGACTAGTAAAGTCAACACCGAAGATGGACATCGCCGTGGGCCCGCTGACAGACTGAGATGCCGCTGGGTGCATGTCGCAGTCGTCGGTTGACCTTGGGAATGAACTCATAAATTATTATCCCATGGGAAATAAGATTTTAGGAGGCTTCCAGTAAGATCACAACGAGTTTGGAGGAAACGCGGTAAGGGTTCGGCGAGGCAAGTGGACACAAAGCCCGGATCGTCTCATCCAAAGTAGATACGAATCCGCAAGCTACTACCAAAATTTTATGTCACAGGATGGCGATAAGTCTGGAAATGAGATAGCGCGGAAAACGAAGCCACATTCTGTGATTCGGCGTTTGAGGAAGTCACCCAGGCTAAAAAATATTGTATTATCAATACAGACAAGAAAAATTTAAACGCAAAATCCTTAGTTCTCTCCAATTCTCAACTTCCAGACACGAATAATGCGTTCTTACGGCCCCCGACGACATTCCGACACGCACAAAAAACGCAATTCCCCAAAGGAAAGAAATCATACGTACTCCAATTCACTGGTCCGGTTTTCCACCTCGCCTCATTCTTCCGGAACATCTCGCACCGCCTGCACGTGGCACCGACACCGCCGACAACGGTCTTTGCATCCGCGTTACGGTCGATCCAGCTCATGGGGGGTCGATCCAGCTCATGAGTACGGACATCAGTACGAGGCTGTGCCAGATAGCCAGGCCAGTAGAATGGGGACAGCGAACATCTCAAGAAGGTGTAGTACTCGTGAAGATGTAGTGCTCCGCGGTAGCCATAGGCCATAGGTGGTCATGCCGCCATCCACACCGCACCTCCAATCTCGATAAGCGCCTCGTGTCCTTGCTCATGGCGGGTGCCTGTTTCGTGTAAGGTGTACAAGTCTCTTTGGGCTGACGGGTGCTGGGATTGTATCTGCTGCTGGGTTGCTTGCATGGTGGTTGGGTGGGTGGCGTGTCTATCTGTGTGGGGTGATGGGGTCCCAGCTGAGCTTGCTGTCTGGTCTGCTGGCGGTCGCCAATCACGAGTCGGCCGTCGGCCCCTCACACAATGTGGTGTCAACTTATGACACTTACATGTATATGCACACGCACACGCACATGCACACCCGTATACACCAACTCAGCAACCACGCCCCTTTCTGATCATAAAACCTGCACAAGGCACAACCGATTAATATCCAAGCAAAAAGCTCAGCGGATCGAAACCAGATTTAATTTAACCGACCATGACTTCTGCAGGCCCTACCGGTCGACACCGGGAAGGTGTGTATGACGTGTATGATATGACATTTTTCGTGTAAATTGTGAATAGGCGCCGAGGTCGCGCGTTGCGCGGATCCTCAGCCTTTCAAAAGTTTAGCCCTGCCGGACACCCGAAGGGCCGACTACGAAAGGCCCTCGCTAAGGCGAAGACCGATCATACAACCGAGGCCATGTTGACCACCTCGAGAAGCGGGCTAGGTAAGTATGACTATATATGAGGCGCCGCCGGGCTCCGGCCACACGAGCCTCTTTGTCAGAGGTCTGGCTGGCGATGGTGGGTCATAGGTGGCAACCTATAGTAAGAAGTACGTAGTGTGGCCCCTACTCTCGCATCCTCCAAACTCATGAGATCATGTATGTGTATGGGGCGCACATGTCTCCGTACTCAGAAAGAGGCAACTGAATCGTGGAGCCGCCTCTAATATGCACTGCGATCGTCTCGACCTGGGAAGCCTAGGAAGCTGCTCCAGTTTCGGGTCTGGAAGTTCGGGTCTATCTGGATAACGACATATATCTAATTCGGGTGTTTGCTGGGCGAGGAGTCTCCCGTGCGCACATACTTTGTCGGGTTACGATTATATGATGCGACACGGCATGGGCCCAAACATGTTCATTCAGTTGCCTTATCGCGCTGCATTTTGGTGTGGCCAATGTTTCACCAGAGACCATCTTCTCGACCATCATCACCACGCACCATCACCACCCTGGATACCACTGTCGATAGTGTCCCAACCCCAACCCCCCGTGTGTGAGTACCTGCATTAATTCAAGGGGCTACCAGGTCCGCCATGCGGGGCAGCTGTTTATGCAAATGTAATAGACGTCCGGATATTTGATGACCCCTTCTTTGTATCGATATCTGGGGACCCATTGGCCAACCCCGTGAGCCTGGCGGGTGTAGAGACAGCTTGGCGGTGATGATGGGCGACAAGGATACATGATGAGGGTGATATGCACATGCCAGTTGCACATGCCGACAGATGAATCCAGCAACCGGTGGTTCCTAATACAAAGCGGACAAACAGCCGTGTTGTGTCGTGTTGTAGTGCAACTGGGTGGCTGGGTGGCTGGGGTAGCTGAGGGTGTTCAGTGGTTCGGCTTTCGGTATTCCCAGATGTGGCATAGAAGGAATGTTGACGTGGAGGTGACGGGTGGGTTTGAGGATGGGATGTTGCCGTACGCTCCCAGAAGCCATACCGTCATTCTGCCAACACAGAATTTCAAACATCTAACAGAGCAACCACTCTGGGAACCGGCATCCCTTCGATTCCTCGGAATCCCTTCGTTAGGCGTTCATTCCTTGTTCATTCCGTGCTCATTTTGGAATGAAGGGCTGAGGGGCCTTCAGAACATATCGCAGGAGTTTGGCTGGAGTGATCATAATTCACGGATTCGTTTATAGAAGCCTTCTGATATCGTCATGCCAGCATTGTTTTAAGGAGAACATGACTTAGGTCGACTGTACCACTGCGGTCGACTGTATGCGTCCTCCAAATGTGAATTTTCGTGTGTGTCCGGCATTGACCCATATCCCCCAGCCCTTGGCCCCCAAAAACCAATGGCACACACGTGCACATGCAGGAGAGCAAACCCCTACCCCTCTCATCCTCAGCACCTCCACCACAACACTCCCCTTAAAGGGTAATATTTGCCCTCTCTTGCTTCCATCTGATGAGTATGCCGTCCTGGCGTAGCAAGTCAGGATAGTGCGGGCCTGCGGTTGGTAGGAAGAGGCAATCCCTGTTGTGTGGGGCGCCTGGTACCTAGGCTGAGATAACATTTCTCCACATGCCGAACCATCCTCACCGAGGCCAGGAGGGGAGTTATGTTCAGCTTATTAGCCAGGCTAAATAATAAGCGTAAGTTGTGGCCCCTGGACCAACGGATGAGGTGCATGACGTGCAAGTTCATTCCGATAGGCCTGGGGCCCTGATGGTCTAGATGAAGCTCTGTCACGAACCACTAAGCCCCATGACCGTAACAATCTAGCAGAGTGTCTTTCACGGGCTGTCTGATTGAGCCTATGGTAGAGCTGCAGGTAATGTTCTTATGCGCAGATTACTACGAACAAGGCCCTCACGGACTCCCCACAGGCTGCTGTTTGCTGAGATCTTGCAATTACCTCTGTAAGACGTTTGGGCCAAGCGTGATATCGGCTTAGGATTTAGTAGTGTGACGCAGACGGGTCCCTTGCTTACACAACTCAACGCCAGGAGGTCCTCTCCTGGCATTACCAGGGAACCTCGCATGCGGCTGGCCATCCGAGCTGTTTGTTCCGCTTTTTGGGGGAGCTTACACTTTACTGTGTGGGATGGATACACGCTGCGGCTTCGACAAAGTAGGGTGGTGATGCACCGGAATACCCATCGCGGAGGGGGGCCCCCCAAAAATCCTTTCTGAGCTCCGAAACCAGTTCACGTCGTCATCGGATCATGAGAGGCTGTCTGCAGCACCACACGATTTCTTATCGGATGGGAAACAACCAGGGATTAAGATGGCTGAATACAATTATTGGTTGGGGTTGCCGCTTGAAAAAGCGACCGGGGCAAGCAGCTGCCGGATGCCAATATGTCCGTTCCTGTCGATGTGCATCGTTCGCTAATGCGTTTTTTCGTCAATGGTTGCTGGCTGCTAGAAGCAAATGGAGCTTAAGGGGGGATCGCACGTGATCAGAGGATCTGCATTATGTTATGCGAGCTCCAAAAGCCGTGAAAGACGAAGAGCGTGTAGGGGGGCTCATGCATGCAGGGGCTTTTTGTCGGGTTCTGGTGGATCAGACCTTAACGACATGATTAATGATGTGATTGATGGCAGCGGTTGACCAGCTGGAGTTGGCGAACCTTATCAACAGTACTTTTGCCTAAGGAGGGTCAAAAATAGCCGGCGCACTGCTACGGCATATACCAGTAAGGATAGTTTACTTAGTTCGACATATGTCTATTTCTTTGATATTAGTCTTTCTTGTGGGGTTTATAAGTTATCTTTTTCGAACAGCCCTAGGCTGCTGCTGGACCTTGCGTTCCCTGCTAGTATGGGCCCCCAGGTTACACCTCGGAGGCGACGACGACGACGATGTCTTGAAGAAGAACGAAAACCCCACATACTCTTTGGAAGACGACCAATAACGACCATTGCGCCGGGGCAGGGAGCAGCCTCAGGCAGTACCGACCGCAGCAACAACCGCAGTAAACCAACTACCTGTACGGTGGACCTAACCAAGATAACCTGGTGCTGTGCGTCCGCTTGACAATTACTCTCTCTCTCTCTCTCGCTCCCTCCTCGCTTTCCCCTTCCCTCCCCCCCCTCTCTCTCACTCTCTACCTGTCTATCTCTCGTTCATACTTATACTCTCGAGCGCGTAACATTGGTTTCAGATGTTGATGCTACTGCCACCCGCACCGGACGCTACCGCCAGTGCACTGCTGTTGCAGCTGCTGCAGCTGCTGTTAGCAAATGCCACATCTGCTCGGCTACCAAATGCTTTTGAGGCTCAGTCTGTGCACCTTCAGTCTCAGCGGGGGCTCTCCCACCTCCAGCGGCAGTTGGCGCGGGAAGAGCAGGGAGGCGGAGGTGCGCAGGCTGACAGAGCTGCCGAACTGCAGGACCTGAGGGTGGGGGGTAGGGGGGGAGGGGGGTTTAGGAAGAAGGGCGGTAGGGGGGGAGGAATTGCATGGAAGACCAGGGGCAGGGGGGTCGGCGGGTGGCGGTAAAAAGGGGGCTGCAGTGAATACAGCTAAACGCGTACCACGGGAAATGCAGGGCGGGGGAAAAAGACGAACCACGAGCGAGTGAAGCTGCTGCCAAGGAAAGAGTGCTGCAGCAGATGCGCGGCGGGGGGAGGGGGGCGGGAGAAGTACCACCCAAAAGCCTAACTAGAACACCTGGGGAAGGTGGGCCCTATCGCAGATAAACCGTTACCGTTGATCGAGTGCATGAGGGAACCCCCCCGTCCCCAACCCGCCCCGGGCCCCAAGACCCGGGAAAAGAAAAGAAGTGCGCGTGTGTACTCCCAACCGTCAACCCACGCGTCGAATACCGTTACAGCCGTACAGCACGCCACACACCTCATCGAAATCGACGCCGCCGGGTGTAAGATGCACGCCGGATCCCGCCGCATTATCCAACCTTTTTTACATCAGCCGTACAGCGCCGTACATAATCGTAAATATGCCGTGCGCGGCAGGAAAAAGGAAGGGATAGCGTGCAAAGATATGCTTAACTTGCTGGTTATCAATGGATTGGAAACGGAGAAATGGCCAGGGCATGGGATGGCTGGGAGTTGTCGGGGGTGTTTTCATGTGGCCGTGTGCGCCGGTGGCCCTGGTTTCGGGGCATCACTACAAACGAAACCCCCAGGTCTCCTCTCCAATCCTCCAGCAAACAGCAACGGCCGTAATCCAATATTACGACAGTGCCGTACAACTCCCAACCACGCAACACCGCCGTACAACCACTTACCTAACCATAAGCCGAGCTGGGGGTTCCCAAAAACGGTTTGCATGAGACAGAGGCAGGTCGTAACGAACCTAACCACCTCAGGGGGTTAGAGAGGGCGAAGGGGGAGAAGGAGGGGGGAAGAAATGGTATGGGGTAAGAAAACACACACGGACCTGGACGGCGCATTGTTGCGGGCTGATGGACATGCACTGTGGTCATCAGCTGCACACAGGTGAGCGCGTGCACATACCGGGGTATTCGTACAGCGGCTCAGTTGTACGGAATCGTACCTTGAGCGCAACTGGGCCCAGCGGAATGCTGCGGCTGATCTTCAGCAACGCCATGGGAGCCACCTGTGACGGAGAGGAGGGAAAGAGGGAGGAGAAAATTCCACTTTTTCCTAAATCAAAAAACAGTGCTTTAGCTTGTTCGGATATCACCATAATGGGGTTACATACTTAAGAAGATGTCTGAAAAAAGGACTGCCAGTCGAGGACCCTGTCCCTGTTTTTCCCCCCCTCCCTTCCCCCGCCTGCCTCCCTCTCCGCCATACACCACACCCGACAGCGAGCCAGGTAGGGGGGGAAGAAGAGGGGAAATCAGGTCAGCTCGAAAAACAAAAGACCAACCGCGGCATGGCCCGGGGAGAGGGGGGGAAAATACACAATGGAGGAAGGGTTGTCCCACGAAGGCAAACACGTCACGTCACGTCACAGACCTGTTCCATTCAAACATGCACACCTACAGAGGCCAAAGCCGTACGGCAGTAGTGACGTCCTCCTGTGGATTACTTCCCTGCCGTACCTTGATCGACACAAGATCCTTGATCTTGATCCGTGCCACGGGCTGGATCTGTACGGCAGGGAAGAATGAGGCACAGCTTAGGGGCAGCAGGAAGAGATCGGGTGGGCAGGTTTCGGAGCTAGCGTGGCGATGCACGGGGTGTTTTCTTCCCTTCTCCCCCGCTTATTTCCCGCCCAACCTGATCTCCTCACACCCCTCGCCCCTCGCCCCGCGGCCCCCCTCAAACCTCTTCCCCCCACACACACACACCCACCCACACGCACCTCCTGCTGGTCCACATCCAGGTTAATGCCCATGCCCACATCCAGCAGTGGCTTCTCAGCCCACGATCGGGCGATAGGGGAGCCGCGCACCGCCCGGCGCGGCGCAACGTTTGCCACGTTTTCTCCGGAGGCCTTGCCGCCCGCACGGTTGCCCCCCCCCTCCCCCTCCTCCTT